AGCGGGGCAGGCTTCGTGTGAAAGCTGTCCATCTGGGTTCGCCTGCACATCCACAGATGCAGAGCTTTGTCCAACTGTACGTAAGTTAATTTGCAGGAGAACTGGAAGAAGCCTGGAAGCATGAATGGCTTACAGTAGCGTAGCAGCGGTACCTCATTTATCCTACTTAGTTGCATTGAACATTCTATCTTCAGGCGTAGTGCGATTTTGAGTGGCGCAGGGTAAATACTGCGCTCCTGGAATGAAAGCACAAGCTTGCAGGGCTGGAACATTCAATCCAATTGCAGGGTCGCAGAGCGAGGCATCATGTCTTCCCTGTCTCCCTGGATGGGCTTGTTCCGTAGAGGGCCTAGAGGAACCGGATACAAAATGCGCAGCAGGCCACTTCTGTGTTTCTGGGGCGTCTACTGCGACGCCAGAAGATGAATGGACGGAGGGTGGCGGTCCATGCTCACCAGGTTCCTTTTGTCCAGAGGGATCTTTTTCTCCTACACCTTGCCCAGGCGGCAAATACTGTTCCGATGAGAAGGCAAATGCTCCTAAGGGCGACTGCGTTGCGGGACACTTTTGTGCTCATGGGGCAACAGACGGGCAGTCCAGTTCAGTGTTTAACCCTCTTGAGTGTCCCTCGAACGTCAAGCAAGGGATCTGCCCGCCTGGCTCGGTATGCCCTCAAGGATCAGCGTTCCCGTATAAGTGCCCAGCGGGTGAGCTCCGTCACACGGCTTCATTTTGGACAGAGGCTTCATAGCCATGAATTTTTCGCATATCGGGTTTAGTAGTCAGCGTGAGCATCCGACGAATTCTCAATATCTATACAGGCTTTGAAGCTAATGTAATGCGGCCTGTTCAACTGTCTGCTTGTATCCAGGAACTGTGCGAAAAAGCTCCGGAGGAACTTCCTTCGAAGATTGCGAGCCATGCCCGGAGGGAGCTGTTTGTTCACTTCTTGGAGCAACGGAGGTGACGGACGAAAAGTGTCTCGACGGCCGCTACTGCAAGAAAGGGTCGCGAGTACGTAGCTCAGCTAAAACAATCACTTTGCAAGAGGCCATTTTCTTCGCACTTATGTGGACTTCGGAAAAGGGAAATCCGTCAGTGTTGCCTAAGTATCTGGTTTGCTTGTCCCATGTGAAAGACAAAGTTTGGCATTCCCTGCCCGGTCGGCCACAAGTGCACAAGCAACGACGCAGCCCCTGTAAAGTGCCCGATAGGGTAAGCCCGAATTGTTAATGATTAGTAGATTTTCACGGTACATATGGAGCACTTCAGAAGACAACTTTAAAGGCTCCTATGCAATGATATCATTGGTCTTCACTGGTGGCCAACAACCTTCTGGGTAGTACTGTGTGAGAAGCTAGAGTGGGCCGGGCCATTTCACGATTCGCTGGACTTCAAGCCTCTTGAAGGTCTAAACGCTTGTTTTGGTTCATCTGCAGGACTTATCAGCCTGCGGTAGGAGCGGTAACTTGCGAGCCTTGTCCACCAGGTAACAAAAGGAGATGTAGGGAGCACAGAGAGTCTTTACTGCCTTGGCAAATCCGTGCAAACGCGCTGCTCTGTCACTATTTCTCTTACATGGTGATCAGGATTTGTCTGCGATCAAGAGGGCACTTCAGAACTTGAGGAGTGCCCGGCAGGATACTTTTGTGCTGACGGCATAAAGACGGCCTGCCCTGCTGGAACATATCTTGAAAACAAAGGCGCTTCAGCATCCACTGCATGCAAGCCATGGTAATGCAGAGTGAAGCCTCATAAAGGCGTCGCGTACTCAAAAAATACTTACCGTCAAGATAGTAGGTTTTAACGGGAAGCATTTACTCAAATAGTCGGTTGCCCGGATCCAAACTGCTCTGCGGCTGTGGGGTGCATGCACAGTCCTCCAGGGAAAGCATGCCCAACCGAGGCTTCTACGTCGGCTACCTCAATGCAAGATTGTCAAGAGGGCTACTACTGCAGACTAGGGGCACCATCAGTTACTCCCACAGAGGTATCATGCTCAGGGGATGACATGACAGCCTGCCTTCCAGGATCAAAGTGTCCAATAGGGTACTATTGTCCTTCGGGGTCTAGCACGCCTTTAGGGTGCCCCTTAGGCACAACAGGGAGCAAGGAGGGAGCAACGTCGGATAACGATTGCTCGCCGTGCCCTGCTGGCTCTTTCTGTCCTCCTGGTGGAGGGCAGTTTCCTTGTGACGCCGGTTTTTATTGCACTGGAGGGGCATCTGTTCCCAGACCCATAGACAATAAGACTGGTGGCATGTGCCCACTTGGCCACTACTGCGACGGCGGCGCAAAGGCGATTCCTTGTGAGCCAGGGACCTATGCGGATTCTCAGGTAGGACTAGTTTCCTTAACATTAGCGTATTTTTCAATCGCGACACTTCGCACCAGGCCAGCACGCCATATCATCTCATCGTCGGCCTATAATTAAAGCAAGAGATTAGCAGCAGCAAAGCAGGGATATTATTTTGCTCATTTTGGGTCTCAGGGGCTTGCAGAATGCAAAAAATGCCCTGCAGGGTTCGTCTGTAGCAATCCAGGCAAGCTGTTTCCGTGATGAAGCCTTGCAAATCACAGTAGTGCATCGGCTGACGCATGTTTTGCTTTCCCGCTACTTTGTGCACTTTAAACCACATCGCAGACCTGTATATTTCCATATAATATCAACAATTCAATATTTGGCTTTGCTAGGTCTTCCCGGACAAGCTCTGCTTTCAGGATGAGGCATGCCTGAGGCGTCTTTTTCGCTTCCGGGATCAATGTTGCTTTTTGCAGGAGATGAAACTGGAATAAGCACGCCGTGCCCTGAAGGCAAGGTTTGTCCTGAAGGGTCCATCGATGCTACTAACTGTCCTGTCGGCACTCTCGGCATAGCCGAAGGTCTGCAAGATATATCAGAGTGCTCCTTATGTCCTCCAGGCGAGTCCATCTGTGTCCTAGTGCGGACACATGAATTCACGAAGCAACACAAGTGGTGCTGCAGTAGCGCAAGGGACTGTAACATTGAGTAACAACGTCCAACATACAGAATGCTTCTGGTGCTGAAGACGTTTATCCGCTAGAGCAAACAAACTGCGTGAGACATCTTTTAGGCAAATACTGTGACCAAGAGGGCTCGAAAGAACCTTCAGGGGATTGCGCAGCTGGGTACTACTGCCAGGCAGGCTCAACAGAGCAAGCACCAGATGTAGAGGACTGGCCCAATGCCAGCGGCAAGTGCCCTCCAGGACACTACTGTCCTCAAGGAAGCGTGAGCAGCGAGCTTTGTGCAGAAGCTATACTGCTTTGCAGATGACAGTAAGGAGTGGGAGGCTGCACTTCGCGTTATTTGAGCCCGTTTCGTTATTTGTACTGCCTACATTTGACGTTGCTGCAGGGAGCTCCTCAAAGCTGTCCTCCAGGAACATTTTACTCAAGCTGGGGGGCTCAAGATATCGATGAATGTCAGCCTTGCACAGCGGGAATGTTTTGCGGCAGCTGGGGTCTGAGCGAGCCAGAAGGTTATTGCAGTCCAGGCAAGTTCAACAGAGCTCTGATACAAGGCGGCTTATCAGAAAAAGTTCCGGTGTTAGATAGAGGTCAGCATAATGCCAGATGCAGCCCTAACCTTTGTTTCACGTATTGCCCATTATGGCATCAAAGCAACCCCGCCGGGCGCTATGTTTCTGACTTTGCGTACTAAAACTTGGGAATTGAAACAAACATTCTGATGCCCAACTACAGGATTTTATTGTAAGGAAGGGTCTTCGTCGCCATCTCCCATTCAGGAAGCAGCTGGCGACCTCTGCCCTGTAGGCAACTACTGTCCAGAAGGTATGCAGAGCTACAAAGTCTATAACAAAATGTCATACACGGCAATTCAAGCTGTAGAAAAGCCATAGTTTCCTAATGCTGAGGCAATGCTTCTCGCCTGCGTCTATTTTTTTCCACTGCTTGGAAAACGCGCGATAAGTAGCCGGATGGTATCGAAGCATTTCGACGCTGTAGCAAGATCCAAACTGCGGTTTCCATACATCAGGCTCTGAACAACCAAAGCCTTGCCCCGCCAACACATTTATCGCTCACCAAGGTGCGAAAAGGCCTTCCTCACAATTCGTCGACACGCCTAGCGAACGTAGCTCCACTTTATTGACAACAGACTTCACAACACCTACATGATTGTAGGGCGTCTGGCTGTTTTCAGGTTCAAGTGAATGTTTACAATGTCCAGCGGGATTTACGTGCAGCGAAGGAGCGGTGGAACCAGAAATCTGTCCAGCAGGCTACTACTGCGAGCTCGGGAAGGAGCCCACACTATGTCCAGGTGGAACGAAGTCGACGATTACCGGCCTTTCAGAAGCAGGACAGGCACGCAAGCACTATCTGCCGAGGCTTATGTGTTCTTATGGCCCAAAATAGACACTGTTAAAGCAAGCAAAAGGTTTTGAGATTTCTATATGTTTATTGTCTAACATTGGAGGTGTCAAACTGGAATATGTGCAAAGGGACTGCTTCTGAACAGTGTGGATCATCTCAGCGTGTGTGTGCTATTTCAGTGCATTGAGTGTGGCTCTGGGCAAGCATGCGACGGATTGCGTGCGGTCAGTACTTGCAAAGAGGGATTCCTCTGCCTGGCTGGCGTGGGGCCGTCAACATCACCTGCACTATGGCAGAATCTGTACGCGCCAGCAGCTGTGCAAATTGGTGGGCCTTGTCCCCTAGGGCACTTCTGTCATGAGGGTGCGACAACTCCCACAGCTTGCCAACGAGGCACCTCAACTGTACAGGAAGGCGGAAAGACAGCACTGGACTGCTTGCCTTGCAGTGCAGGATGGTACTGCAGCTTGAATTCGTCTGTAGGCCCTCAAGCACAAGAGAAAGACAACGCACTTCTTTGCATCTATTTCCATTGTTGCTAATATCTGCACGTCTTTTTCTGGAACGTGTGCATGATCCTTAACAAAAATGTGAGAGACAGCTAGCTAGCTACTGCTTAGGCGGTTTCATGTGTTATCTCTTCATGCATCTTCAGGAAGTGCTTGAGTGTCCAGCTGGGAAATACTGCCCCGCTGGGAGCGTAAGTCCAGTATCATGCCCTGCAGGTACTTATAACCTGCTTCCACAAGCCGAATCTGCAGAGAGGTGCGAGACGTGCCCTGCTGGGTACGTCTGTACCGCAGGAACAGCAGACTATTCTCAGTGGCCTTGCCCCATTGGGTACTTCTGCCCCGAGGGATCTGCCATTGCATCGCCATGTGCACCTGGCACATATGGCGTCACAAGCAAAGCTACACTGGCTGAAGAATGCCAGGAATGCCCATCAGGCACGTCTTGTTCTCGACTATGCCACTTGTTTCATTTGTTAGCGCAATGTTGCTTCTTTCATCTCTCCGTGTCTGAACTGAAGCTGATCTCTGCTTTTTTGGGTAGTGAAGTACTATATTCAATGGATGTTCGTCAAGTTTTAGCGCTGCCTTGTTTGTTTTACCCGCCGAACGTTCAGGGTACTTCTGCGAAGGTGCAGACGCTCCGCCATCACCATGCCCGGCGGGGCAGCTTTGTGAGCAAGGTTCCTCACAGCAGCTCCCTTGTCCTTCTGGCAGCTACTGCCCTGCAGCTGTAGAGTCTCCTCTGTCATGCCCCAGCGGCTATTACTGTCCGGAAGCATCTCCGCATCCCGAGCTCTGCGCGGAAGAGGCAATTTGTCCGGAAGGAGCAAAAGAGCCGTTGTTATGTCCGGCAGGCACATACCGAGCTAGCTCTGATGAATGCACCCAAACACAGTCCATCGAAGCATGCTGTGAGGAATGTCCAGCTGTGAGTCATTAAGAGCCGCCAGTGACTTGCTAATGGTGCAAATATATTTAAAAATCCAAAGAAACCGTGGCCTACTGCCTTCACGTCGAACGTTTTGTGCTTCACTCGCGCCGGAAATAATTTCTGCGAGCTTAAAATCAATTTAGCTAAAGTTAAGCCAGGAAATACATATCTGTTGCTGCTCGATGCAGGGGACCCATGCTCCTTCTTCTGGTGCGTCAGTGTGTGATCCGTGCCCTGCTGGATATCTCTGCTACGGAGGGACTGCCACAAGCACCCCACAGCTTCCAGATGTTGATCATGGCGAACCTTGCCCGCCTGGATACTACTGTCCGGCTGGGAGCTCTGCTCCAAAGCCTTGCCCTGCTGGGACGTACAATGACCAAAAGGCGGGTGCCAATTTACTGGAAGCCTGCAAGCCATGTGACCCTGACACATACTCAGATAGCCCTGGACAAACAGGGTGTTTCGCCTGTGGTTCAACATCGACAGCTAGTGCAGGACAAACCACTTGCACTTGTTTGGGGGAGCACCGATGGTTCCAACCCAGCCAAGGTTCTTGCATTTGCGAAGGCGGATACGAAAGCTACGACGTCGCAGGAACTTCCTTCTCTAATCTTGACTCTTCTCTAGACTGTCAGCCGATAGTGAGACAAAACTGCGCGGGGTCTCAAATTGCGCAGCTCGCTACTTCACAAACTGAACTACGTGACAAAGACGGGCTTTGCGTGGACCCACTGGACTGCGAATCAGTCTGCCCAGACGGCAAAGGTCGCTTCCTGCACCTTTCAGGGCAATGTATTTGTCTACCCGCAGTAGAAACTAATGCGCTTTGTGACGAAGAATGCAGGTAGGGCTTGAAACGTGCGGTCATGCGATTTTCGCGGTCTCAACGAATTACCGCACCCATCAACACATTTTTCAGGTCAGGCCTTTTAATGCCTAGTTCGCAGTCCTTCTCTTTTACGTTTAGGCGAGAAGCACTCCGTGCACATTATGAAGATGGAGATTTAGTCTTTAGTAGTGAGGCTAACGGCCTCGTTACACGGCTTTCGTTTGCTGACTTTTCGGCCAATGGGAGGGTACTCGGGAAAATAGGATGTCGCAAGGACATTAACACTGACTGTGCCATCCACTTCTATGATGCCACAAGCGAAGGAATTTTGGGACGTTTAAGTGTTCCTCAAAGTATGACTACAGGCCTTAATCGAGTACTGAACAGGTCCCTTATATTGTGTTTCGATAGAGTGTGGCACCATTTGTCACTCCATTACAGATGCTCAACCGTGCCGAGCCCGTCACCTTGCCCATAGTATTCGCAAGAGCTCTGCTTTGGATGCATGTTCCTGCTGCACTATAGGCTTGAAAGACGAACTGAATCTATCACATCGGTATTTGGCGACCCGCACTACTACCGAAGGCGCACTTCGACACCTTTCCGCGGAAGCTACTTCTTTAACAGTCAAGGCCCCTGTTCAATGCTTACAGCTCTATGACAGTGTTGCCTGGTGGGTGGGTGAAGGTGTCTACCCAATTTTTCTGAAGGATTCCCTGCTAAACACTAATACGGAGATTGACATTTCGGCATTTCTTCAGTTAGCTTCTGCTATGGGGTCTCGCGATATGTCCCGGAGCTTAAGAAACACGAGAAGCACGTCGTCCAGCTTGGAAGTAAGCACAGTTTTTGCCGGGGAAATTCTCTCACATCGCCATCTTCTGCACGTTAAGATGATGGGCCTTGAATGTGATGCTCGAAATTCACGTTTTCATAACATCATCACTGGACTTTGTCTGTCAGCTACAAGCAAGGGCAAACAATACATTAGTGAACTCATCGCTGCATTAGCATGCTACAGCCGCCGAATATTTTTCGTAGAAAAAGAAGTGTTTTGGAGCTGTCAAAACCCATTCATCTCTCTCTTATGTGTGCACTTATCAAGCGTGTGAATTGCAATTTGTTTGCGTAATTTGCTGTCACAGTACTTCGTATACACCTTCACTGTTGAAGGAGTCTTCGCTTTTGGGACCAGCGAAGACAGCAGCCCTCAAGCAATTTTCTCCGTCGTTGGAGAGGGAATTCAGTGCGCTACTGGAACAAGGTTAGTGCGAACATATGCATGGGCACAGATTCACGCTTGCACATCAGCCGATTTGTCTCTGCCGCAACCCGTTCCTCAAACGCTGCTGCACTCTTCAGGTTTCCTGAAACAGCAACTCATTCGTCTCTCGCGCGTATTGGAGTGCAACTTCAGCAAGTACTTAATGTGGAGCCTGACCTCACAATATCGCTGTTGACATTTGCCTGTCTATTAGTTGTGCTGGTCCTGCTGCTCGTGAGTATTTCCGCCGCACGTCGAAGCCAGTACAAGAAGCGGCAAGCGCTAGATCGGAAAGATATAAGCGAACGTAAAGACCTTGTCCTCGGCAACAGAAGCGCAGCTCTAACAATGCGGAGGCGTCTAGAGTCGTTGCTAGCAGACCTGATCGAGCAGAGGCTGTGCAAGCAAGAAAACAACAAAGTGCTTGCTTTGCAGCCTGAACAGCTAGAAAGTATGCTTGCCGAGATACCTCGAGGAACACTTCAGCCACAAGCCTTTGAAAATGCTTTCGGCGTGCTCCACGAACTCTCACTGCAGCTGAATTCGTTTTCTTCCATGGCTAGCCACGAATACCATGAAACAACAAAAGATCTAGCAGTTGAAATCAGCCGGCTTCAAAAAGAAATTTTAACAACTCTGGCACCTGTGAAACAGAGGCTACAGGTATGCAAAAATCGATATTTTACTACTTTAATGCGCGCAGCCACCACAATGAAGCTCTTGCAGCTTATACCTTTTGCGCAGGTATCAAGTTCGGCGCCTGGCTTTTGTGCATGGCTGTTCCTGCTCTTAGCTTTCCTTTTGGCTACCAGTATAAATGGCTCATGTGACAGCACCAAAAACGACTATTTTATGAGTATGGCTGCAGCTGGGGGTATCTGTTATGCGTACAGCATCGTGATCGATTGAGGGGGTTGATGGCTCCCATGATGGAAAATATCAATCGCTTGCTAGGAGAATTAAGGTCCACCGATCTTTTTATAAGTGCCGCCGCCTCTGGGAACGATTTCGAGGATTCTGAAGAAGGGGAGCATGGCATAATCACTAGAAAACTATTGATTCCTGCAAACATCGGAGAGTCTACCATGTTGCATCTTCGACTGCTACACGCAACAGTCTATGCTGAACGCTTCATCACCCAGGCTTCTGATCGATTTCAAGTATTCTCTGCCTCTGAGCGAATGTTCAAAGCATCTATTCCAACTCTAAAGGCTCAAAAAACGCAAACTGACGGCGCTGCTGACGCTCTTGCACAAGAAAAATTGCAATTGCTACAGGAGGCTCACAACTTGCTTGCCGAAGGCTGCAAGCTACTCGCTTCCGGTAGAGACGCCAAAGAAAGCATGAAGGAGCGGTTTGCAGAGTACAGGAAGAGAGAAGAAGATATTCTGAATTCATGTCGTAAACAATATTCTGCAGCAGTTGATGCCGAAGTGGCAATAGCACTCCAAAGCCTCATTGACAGAGAAGACGTGCTTCTACAAGGTCACTTGAGCCGGCTAACTAGTTTAGCTGCCGCAGCTCAATTGCCTTCAGCAGAAAGTCGGAGTAACAAGCAAAAAGCGGTTAGAGCGCTGCATTCATACAGTAATGAATGCAGAGCGCACTTCAAACAGGCTCTGAAAATAACAACAGAAGCTCTGCACAAGCAATTGAGTAAGCTCATCAAGCCATACATACGAGAAGTGGCACAGAATTTTTTACGCTTCTATGTCTGTGTGTGCACACATAGACACAAACAGAGCACACACACACATACACGCACACAAGCACACGCACACACAGAAACGCAGTGGAGCCCGCCGATGTGCACAGGTGAGGTCGCTTGTCGTGAACAAGCTGCTGCTGATGGCCAAGAGCAGCAACGCGAAGCCTTAGTTGCAGTGCTTCTTGACCAGAAATCGCGTGGAGAGGCAGAGTACATGACAAGTGTCCACAGTCTAGAACGACAGCTGCTGCTTCTTTGCACACAACTCGCAATACAGAATAAAAAGGCTGCCGAAGAGGAATTCTTCCAGGTACTAGAGACACGTTCCTTATTTTTGTTAGCTTTACACTGTTACTTTAGTCACGAATTTGACTAACTTCTTGATTCCGCTTCTCCGTCCCTTCACTGTCAGCAATCTTTTAAAAGTTTATTCGTTTTTGATGCAGCCAAAATCTCCAGAGATGCGCTATGCCCATTCCGTTACGCAGGCTGCTGTGAACGGCTGGACTGAGGCGCTTCAGTCCGAGATCCGAACGCAGGCTCAAACACTCCGCCGTCAGGCAAAGGCGGGGGAACTGGAAGAGTCCGAGTATAGGCAGCAAAAGGCATCGCTTGCTTCTTCACTTGACCTTAACATTCAGCGAATTACCAGGGAACAGTTCACCAGCAAGGCTGAGCGCATCGACCAATTTGAGCGGGAAGCAACGAGTGCCTATGAAAGCTTGTAGGACGTTTTAAGAAGATTTAAGCTGTTTTGTGCAGCAGTGGAGCGTAGTGTGGAGGGGTTGTTAATGCGGCAATAAGCTGCATTTGGAATTTTTTAATGTCAGCTTGTCCTCCACTCTTACCTGAGACACGCTTACTTATTCCCCTTCTTTTGCAGAATGGAAGCAACTCATAAGCGTCAAAAACTCGAAGATGACTTGCGAAAGGCACAAGCAGATGTATTTGGAAGTTTGGTGCTCCGGAGAATTAAACAATTCTGGAGAAGCGCGGAGGAGGAGAGGAAACTGCTGCTAAATACTATTATAGCATCTTGGTCACGTGCAGCTGCGAACCAGGAAAGGTTTGTTTTTGCCCTCTACTGTAAATAGACTTTCATTCGTAGAGAAAGCTGTAACCTGATTTACAACGGTCACGCATTTGAGATCGCGCATTCGTCTTTTTTACAAGCCCATTTGTAGATGTAACCTGACTTACAACGGTAACGCATTTGAGGTCGCGCATTCGTCTTCTTAACAAGCCCATTCGTATAACAAAGAGCGGCTGAAAAGAATTAAAGGGCCCTTGGGTTGTTCTCGCTTGAATAAAGCTTAGATCCCTTAAGAGCCGTCAAGAGTTTCTTCGGTCATAAAGCCTCCAGTTTCTTTACTGGTGCGGTATTTGACCCGATGCGGATTTGAAGTGGCCATGTGCTTGCTTCATTCCAACAGGCTTTTTGATGTTGAGCTCAAGATCCAAGAGGAACTTGCCTCTGCAAAGTTGGAGGAAGGCGAAGCAGGCAGTGGCTCCGCGCAGCTTCAACGTGGTTTAAAGGAAAGAAAACAGGAAATGGAAGCTGCAGTTGAGGCGATGATGGACAAGTCTCGTGAGTTTCAGGGGCAGAGTCTCAAAGAAAACTTGGCACGAATGGATGAGCTAAGGCGCGAACAAGAGGCGACAATGAAAGAAGCAACAAACGAAGCCAAGTGTGCACTGTCGGAGCAACGCGAACTATGGCTCCGCGCCTTGAAAGGCGAAGCCGACATAGATGCCAGCACGCAAGGCACGCTGCAAGCCATTGGAGAGCAACACGCTGTACGTGTGGCTGTGAGCTGCTTAGAGGCAGCAGCCCAGCAATACTTCCATGATGCTGCTGCAGAAGAAAAGGAAAGCGCGGAAGTGGAATCACTTGCGGTAGTTGATGAAAATGAAAAAATGAAGCAGTTCAAGGAAAGACTGATGGAGAGGACTGCCATACTGAAGTCCTCTTGCGATGAGGAATTTCATCGTAGCTCAGATGCCTTGTGGGCAGCGTTCCAGCAACATCAAGAAGCTTGCAAACGGGCTCGAGAGAATATATTAGACGCTCAAGGCCAGTTCCAAGAGAATCGTATAGCAGTCGTAAGTCGTTACATTGAAACATGGCTTAAGTCGCTCCAAGATGTAATATTGGAGTGCGACGCTGCATTTCTTCTGACTGCTCTAGCGTAGAACTGTGCAGGTGGGCGTCCCTGGTAGGAGATATACCTGCAACTATGTTTGAAGGGTGCTGCCACTGCGTTGTAGGACACATGGGCTCGTGAAACGGAAGAGATGTTGTGGCATGATGCAACAGCACCCCACGTAGATGAAGGAACCCAAGAGAGAATGCGTTTTGCCTTCTCCCGCTTCCGCAGTGACTGGTACGTTACGTGCACATTTCGGGGCCTGCCGCATGCCCTTGACGTTTATTCCATGCTTCACAAATTCTGACTATCAAGTAGATTTTTGTCTTTCTGCGCACAGGGAAGAGGACCTTCTAACGTGGCAATCTGGTCAGATAAATGAGAGATTTGAAGCCTCTACAATAGACGATAACCGACTCAAACAACAAAGGGGCCCAGATTGGGCAGCTTCATGTGCTTCGTCTGGCTCGAAAGCACTAGACAGCCTTCAGGTAAGTTTTTAGTTTACATCCAGGCTATGCATTGCTCCCTTTTTATTGAAGGCGTCTGCAGGAACCCTTAAAGGCGTTGCAGAGCAGGCACTCACCAGAGGCGACACGTCCGTTTGCAGGAGCTAAAGCACGCTTGATCTCAGTGAAATTGGGTGCAGAAAGGGCTTGTTATACCGCTGAAGGTCTACGTTGCGTAATGCTTTTCTGCGATGTCTACTGGGATTGCAGGACATCGATGCTGGCCATAATTCAGCAGGTGCGCAGATAGCTTTGGAGACCCCAAGAGTAAAGTTAAATGACGATTTCTGGGCGAGAAGCAAGAGTCTATTGGACAGTATAGCAAAGTCGCAGAGAGAGATTAGTTTGGCTGAATCTGAATGGCTGGGAAGGTGCCGAGCCATTCAAGGCGGGCGTACGGCATTGAATGCAAATGAAGCTAAAATCAAGAGAGCCCAAACTACTCGTCTGGAGCACATGAAGGAAGGATTTCGAAGGTGAGGCTCCATCACATTCAAAGGTATCTTCCAGCAATTTGGCTTTCACAATTTGCTAATGGAAAGCAATCCTCTCCGCATGCGGAAAATTGTGCATTTCAGCAAAGCGGAAGAGCTTCGTAAAGAGTATGCGGAAGAAGTAAAAGCCTTACTGGAAGAAGATAGAGAGGCAGAGGCACAAATGAATCGTTCAATGCAAGCAGAAGCAGCTAATCTTGAAATGTCCTTCAGAGTTAAGGAGGCCAGCCAAGATAGTCCTGAAGCGCTTGAAGAGCTGAAACGCCAGCGGGAGGAAGCCCTTTCAGACATGCTTAAAGATCTGCAGTCCCAGAGAGACATGCAAAAGGCAGCAATCCAAGGGCGGCTTGAAAAGGCGAAGGCTGCGCTGCAGGAGCAACAAAGGCAACTTCGTCAGCAATTCGAAGCGTGCAAGGAGGAAGCGCGAAAAGAATTTTTGGACCTGAGCAGCAGCCTTACAGAAAAAGCTCGACATGACAAAAGGGCACAGCTACTCGCTGCAGCTCGAATGAATCCCACACCAGAAAACGTATATGCGTAAGGCGTCCAACCATGTGTATAATTCTTGCCCTGACTGCTTCTTTTTGTATTGCATGATTGTGCCAACAATCTGAAAACAGTTTGCTGCTGCATTTTGCTTGTGACTGTGCTTATAATAAGCTTGTCAAATATTTACGGCGAAACTATGGATGTCTTCAGGTTGCACAACCAGTTGAAGGAAGAATATCGAGACGATCTAAAGGCTCTTGTAGTCAGGCAGATGCAAGAGAAGGCGAAATACAGGCACAACGCTGCGATGCAGCAAAAAGCTGAGTCACAAGAGGCACAAGCCAGTGCTGAAAAGTATGAAGGAAATTATCTAATGAATCACTGCGGACGAATCACCTGCCCCCTATGTCACCCGTGCTTCTCGTATTAATACAGTGAAGTCACAGTGTAAAGAAACGAATAGCCGCATTGTTCTTCTTGGACTGGACTCTTCATATTGTGGAAGTTCCTCGTGCCATTGATGTTTTGAAAGATGCAGTCTCTTCGTAATAGGCACGTGCTGAATCTGCGCTGCAGCAACAACACAGGTTCTGCGACAGAAAATGAAGCCGTGAAGACGGAACTGAAAACGTATACCAGTCGGAAAACATCAGAGCTGCATCAAGCTAGGGTCAGGGAGATCCAGGAGGCAGCGCAAGACGCTGCGCTGCAAGACGAAGCCCTTAGACTTCAAGAGGAGCATCTTCAAACAGTGATTGACACACTGAGGGAGTTCACCAGCGTCAATGATTCGCCTGCAAGTACTCTTCTGGAGCACGCGAAGCAGGTGCAGCACTTTGCTTAGGAGTCTGTAACCCCTTGATTCCACATAATTTTTTGCCTCTCATCTTCACGGCGTGCGCAAACTCCATAAATGCTTTTAAGTCTTCTTAACCATCAAATCGTGTGAGCCATAAGGCCCATCTTTACCTTTCGCCCATTTTCTCAGGAAAAATTGCGGCTAGCGCAGGAGCGTGACGATCTCCGCAGATTTGTGTCTGCACGTCTTCAAGAAGTGGAGAAATTGGTTCGAGAGAGAAAGCAACAGGAAGAAAAAAGAAGGCTGCAAGAGTCGCATGCTGCAGCTCAAAAGCGCAAGATGTCCGCAAAGGCTCAGGAAACTGCAGCCCGAAAACAGGGTCAAGAAAAAGATCTCCAGAGACAGCAGAGGAGGCAAGCAGAGGAGGCTCGCAAGCTGCGGCAGTTCATTGAAGCAATGGGCTCTGAAGGCAAGACTTTGGATGACCTTAGGCAGGCTTCAGAGCGTCGTTTAGAGAAACTCCGACGTGCGACAGAACGGGAGCGCCAAAGGCAGAAGGAAGTGCTGGCATCGAAGCGCAATTCTAGGGCTGCAAGACAGGCTAAGCTATCTCGAGAGAAGCAAGCGGTACGAAAGAAATACCGTCATGCTGTTTGGCACAGCATGCAAGCAACTAGAGGCTCTAACGGCGTTAGCTCACATTTACAGGCGTGTGCAGTCAACTTTTCCGATCGCAAGCAAGTTGTGCTTAGCATATGTTTCCTCACACGTTGAAACGCAAAATTTTCTCTCCGGAGAGCATCTTAGACATGATGCAGCCGTATTAGTTAGCAGTATTTCCACTTCATGTATTTATGTGTGGCCTCAACTTTACTACGCTTTTCGCAGGCCCTAGCACAAGCAGAACAGAATGATATGCAAAGTGCCCAAGGATTGCTGCAGAGCATTGCGACAAAGTGCACAGCCACGACTGGCGAATCCGCAGAGCAAGATTCTGGCGAGAATGACTTCAGAAAACTTGTGTGGGAGATGGAGGTCAAGGCATATGCAGAAGAAAAGCTGCAGCGGCTTAGTGAAAACCTTGTAGAATTCTTGCAGGCAGCTGAGTCCGCAACCAACTCTGGTGGACCAGAGGACACTTCGATCGTGGCAGGATCTGCAGAGCTAAGAGAGACTGTGTTACAGGTGCGTTTTTGGCCCCAAAGCCTGAGTCGGTTTCTTCTAGACTAAGCAGCGTCTCAAGGTGCGGGAAGCAGCATAGTCAGTCCGAGTAGTGCACAGCACAAAAATCAGGATCTAAAATTACTAACTCTGCATTGGAAGGCTCTAACGTTTTTTGTGATGTTCCCTCTGCCTGAATAGGTAACAAAGCTTCTCCAGGCCATCAATGTGGCTCACGTGGCATCGCGAGGATAGTTTTCCAGTTTACCGAAGGACCCATGTATTGTTATTGCTTCGCACAACAAGTGCGAACTACTGTCCAGGTAGAAGCAAGTAGGTGGCGTTCATTTTTAGTAGCTGCTGGCGCCACAGCAAGAACTTCTTCAAGCTTGCTGCGGCGATGCAGTTGTCCTGAGTGCAACAGCACGTGTAAGCAGTTTACTTCCAGCATGCTCTCCAAGAGGATGTTGAAATCAAACAGCATGCTCTTTACCAACTGGCTCTCTGGGCCTTTAGCAGGCCTCCCACAGTACGTATCGTCCGTTCGGCTGCAGCCCTTCCCGATGCCGACAAAGCCTATGCAGTGTCGACTCCTGAAGTTATACGTTACGAACTTTTTCTACGGACCCAGACACAGTCAGCCCAGCAGGGAATGTATTCGGGCTTTTCGCAACAGATTTGAAAGGCGCTTTAAAGTGAAATGAATCGTTTGCAGCTCCGCGGGCTTGCTTCTGACCGTCTTTAGGCTGATTTCTTCCACGTAGTCACATTGGCAAAGCAGCTTTAGACAACGTCGTAAGCAAAGAATGAAAATTCACAGCTTTGGCAACCACGAAAATCCACAGTTATTTTACATTGGTCATCACAGGCCTGAAAGTAGCTTGGCAATCTCCTTGGCAGTTGCGAAGGCACCAAGGTCTGTAGGGTGTACTTTTTGGCTGAAATGTCCTGTCATCGCTTTTCCTGCTTAATATCTTTTTCTGAGCATTACTGTCAGCGTCTAGCTGATGCGCTGGTCCGGCTCTCTCCTCGAAATTGTCGTGCCTCCTTAGAAATTCCTCCTTTCAATTTAAATGGTGCGTTAGACTTCCTGAGACACCGGGAGAATTCGAAAGCAAGCGGGTCCTTCACGTTGCCCGTTACGATCACAGCTTGCTAGTAGCTGGCCTTGAGACGTGAGTGATCACAGCTTGCTAGTAGGTAGTCTTGAGAGCGGAAGTCCCAAAGAAGTCCCCAGAGGCGTTACTTTTGCCATTGGTGGTGGATGCTGTTTGTTCTGCATTCCTAAAGAGCTGTGCCACAGTTGATGTTTGTGCAGCCCTGGTAACCATGCGGTCTTGTCGGAGTGGCGGGTTGACGGATGCCACGGGTGTCCCCGCCCTGCTGCGCACTTGGTGCACAGCGTCTGAACCCCGGCAACTACTTTTGCTGCCATTGTTGCACACGCTGCCGAGAGCATTTGCAGTGCTTGACAAATCATGAGACCGCAAATTGGAAAATGACTGCAGAGTGCTGCTTTCCAGAACCTCGTGGCAAAACTCATTGTTGGCAGCACTCGGCTTTGAATTCTCCCGCTCGCACTGCTCTTTTTGCATCTTCTGCTTATTTAGCTGCTGCCGCTGCTTATCAAGCGTGCATTCAACGCCAGAACGTAGTTTTGTAGTCGCCGCAGCCTGTGCATCTGGCTCCATATCTATATCCACGTTTTTCATGTTCGGTTCCATTGAAACTGCATTATTTGCTGCGCTTGTTGGCGGGGAGTTTGTTTCCATTTGTGCCGCTTCAGGATGAACTCTACGGCAGCTACCAACTGCATCTGTCGCTGTAAGGCAAGCCTTTGGAGATGCTTTTGTGCAAATATGCCGCCGGCAACTATGCTTTTTGCGCGATATCTGTCTTCCATGTGAATCCCTCTGCAAGAGCATTTGTTGCAGCAGAAACACCTGGCGAGCAAGATTATGCCACTGCTGTTCTCCAAAGGTTGTCTGTGGTTCGTTGCTTACAAGATCCTTGGAAGTTGCTGCAGCTTCGGTTCCCTTTGACTGGCCTTCTTTGTGTGTTATTAAGCTGCTGCTACAGCATAATTGCGAATGAGCAATCAGGCGCTGCGGTGGGGACTGAGGAAGCGTCCACTTTCTGTGGACCTCTGACGTCTCCTCTGGTATGGGTGTGTGTGCACTGCGTTGTTCCTTGTGCTCTGTACGTTCTCCACAGATATCTCCTGTTCCAATTGGTACGCAGCATCCTTCTTCGCCCAGCGTCGCCATGCGTCCGCGTACTTCTCCTTCAAGGGAAAGTAGCTGCTGCAAGGAGTTACTGTCGCCCTGCTCCTGTTGAAGCAGGAGTGTTGCTCGTGTCTGTACAAGTTCGCGCCCAGCAGAAGCATCTTCTGGCCCTTTGTACAACACAGCAGCAAGACAGTTGGACCCCTTGCTCTTCGCCTCAGGTTGCTTTCTCTTGAGCTTCTCTTCCCTAGCGTATAACCCTGCCGGATTAGTGGTGGTACTTCGCAAATTGCAGCCATGTTCCTCAGCATGCTGTTCCTCATATTTCTTCTGCGAAGACAGTACGCAGGGCAAAGGCCACGTCCCACCTAGTCCTGGAGCTGCATAACACGGAACACAGCTTAATTGGGAAAAACCCCATCAGGCTAGCTGCACAGCACAACAGCATGCTTGCAGCGTGCTACTGTCGGTACGGAATTGGCTTTCACGCAACAGCCTTATGATCATAAGAGTTCAGCGAAACGTTTTTTCTTGTCAGCTTACTTGTAGAGACGGTGGCGAAAGTTGAAGGAGACAGCGACCTCTGCATGTGCTTGCGTAAAGCAGTCAGACAGACAGTGAGACGCTCAGCTGCAGGACGGTGTGGATCGACTGTTTTTTCGAGAGAAAACCCTACAGCTTCATTGATTAAATCGTTGTTTCTTTGTTGCCTCTGTTTCTGCATGTGCATTTGTTGCTCCAATCTTTCATGTAGTAACCGAGCGCGAACGGCGGCCTCACGAGACCGGAGGGTGCGTCCCATGCTGCTTCTTTCTTCACAGTAGTTTATGGCTTGTTGCAAACACTCTAGCCGTTGTTGCTGTTCTTCAATGACTCCCCAGGAGGATCCTTTTTCGCTGTGCACCTCTACGCTACAAAAATTAGAACAAGCAGCCCCGCAGTTGTTGCCGGTGCACGTAACGGGGATAAAGTGTTGCGCTTCCAAGGTATTCTTGCAAAGCTCTGCTTGATGTCCCAGGCTGGGAGAGATAGGTCTGTTTGGGGAATTGCCCGCTCCAGCTGCAGATAGCGCACAGTCTAAGTTCGTCTGTGCAGGCGAAGCAGATGACCCCAGAAGTTTGCTGCCAGAAAACCCCAGCGGAGACACCAAGGGTTGTCTAGTGGAACAGCCCAGGTGGAAATTTGGAGCATTTGTATTTCGGTATTTATCGCATTCATCTACTTTTGAGCTCACTTCTCCAGGAGTTCCTTGTGGCCGATTTTCTGAGGTTGAGACGAATGGAGCATCCGCCCCAAGAAGAGCAATGGAAGCTAGTGAATTCAGATCAGCCGCATCCCCTATGCCATCTAATGAAATGAAGGCAGAAGTGTCCTGCATTGTGCCACTTGCAATGTTGATTCCTTGCTCTAGCTAACACTCGTAATAACTAAAGAAAAGATAGAATTTCCGGGCATTCGCTCAGCTTCCGAGCACGCCCATTAAACCAGGCAGCCTTTTAGGACGTTTGCGTGAGCGGGTACGCCAAACGGCTCCACCTCGTGGGTAGCCTAGCAGCAGTAGCACCTTGGTCTTGCGGCAAAGCTGCAGTTTCCCTTGGCTTGTCCAATGAGGCAAAATCGAAACCAGTCCAGCATCTTGATTTCGATGTCGAATTCAATGCCTCGTTTAGGATGGTTTTGGTCTTTCCCTGGTCTGACGACTCATGCGGGAGCATATTCAAGAGGAATACCCGTCTGTAGGCAGCATTGGATTATCTTCTACTGCCTTGCTGAAAAAGCATGTGAGTAACAGCATTGCAGAGCCAAAAAATGCAGAAATTTTCCAATAACTACACAACAATCCGAGATTTCGCATTTTAGGAGTTACATTCGATTGCAGCTGCGTAGGGGGACAAGTAGATGTTTCCTGCGAGCGTGGGTCAGAAGTCCCAGGGTCCAGCAAGGTCACTGCACTGGTGCAGGATCTGCCCAAAATATAACATCACAGCTAAATTGGTCGCCTCCCCCTGTCTAAGTAAGCATATGTTGCATTATACAGGATGAAAGTAAAGAAATGTCCAGGATATTTCCCTGAATTTTCTTGATGCAAGCTGTCTCGTAGAGGGGACCAGAGGACCTTACGCGAAGCCGGCAGATCTCCAATGAAACACCTGTCACCAGCCCACCACTAGCTCTGTAAAGCATACCACTCTATATTATATATTCTTATGCTTCGTTCGCTTCTAAAAAACAGTTGTAAACCTCAGTGGCTACATAACAGCACTGGACTGGGCACAGACTCGGGCAACCGCGCACCTAATGAAGTCGTTGATTTCAGAAGGAACTTATCTCCTGCTTCTTGTCTTTCTCCCTTGTTATCTCGCATTTGACCTCAGTGAAAAGGTCGAGTCGCTTGTTTTTCCTACTTTCTTGCCTCTGCTTCAGGCCTGAGGTTGCCCAGTGGCCTTACCCCTCCCTCCCCTCCTTTCCCGGCGATCGCCAACTGTTCCGCGAGTCCCTAAGAAGCCCTGAATTTTCCTCTCTCCCTTCAAACCCCATAAATTGAGTGTGGGGCTTTATAAGGGGCCTTCTTCTGGGAGATCGACTAGTCACTGCACTAGTGGCGCGAGTGGCAACTGGTGAAGACTGATGTCCTCCCGGACATGACTAATAGTGCCATTCCCAGCACACAGCCTCCTCGTATGCGTCAAGGATGTGGGGTTCTGGCAGCCGGAACTTCCGTGCTACTACATCTGCGAAGAGCTCCCCAGTTGGAGAGGTCTGCCACGGATCCAGATCAATATCCTCACTCGGGGTAGCCACGGTGGCGCATAATGCAGACTGGGGGCAAACAAAACCCTGGAAAGCACCTTCACACTGTACTGGTCGAAATACGAGGGCCGTTTGTAGCAGAGACATGAGTCCAATATGCAGCGATGCAAGTGACACGGAGCATCTGGACCGCAGCTCATGGGCATATCAGCGTGGTGCTCTGATAGTCCCACCCCCACCACCACCACCTCCTCCTGACGACCAATCGCACAACTTGTCCAGCCGAAATTTCATTCCTTCTACTGGACCCGCAGTGCAAATGTGCTGCGTCCAAAACACCCCCCAAGTGGCTATCCCGCTTCCTCCTGCCGACCCTCCCAATAGTTTGGAAGGGCCCAAAGCAGCAGAGGAGAGCAAAAGACCACCTACACCCCCATGGAGGAAAAACAAAATATTCTCGAGCCACACAGCCGGGAAATGGCAGAATCTGTTCACCTCGACGCAAGTGTCCGGCGGCCAGACGCAAGAACGAAACAGCAGCCCCGATAGCGACATTACATTGAGCCTCCGCCTACCCCTAGAAGATCCGTACGCTTTTTCAAGCATTCCTGATCCTTATGCGACCACCAGTTGCTACAGTGACAACAGCAATAGCTCATCTGCAGCACTAACTGGGACATCGTTCGTACAGCCACCTGAGCCAGTGTCCGGGATCACTGCGAATGCGCCCCTCTCACCTCCATCTGAAACCTATTTAGGGGCATCCAGTAATGTGCCATTTCTTTTGCCCCCTTCCATGTCACACAAAGGGCTGAATCATGCAAATGGGCAATCAGGGAGGCCCAGCTCGTCGTCTTACGTCTACCCTCCACTGCCAGCGGCACCGCCACCTAGGGAACGGGATCACTGGTTACCACCCGAAGCTCATCAAATACGCCAGAGGCTCCGGGGAAGGCCTCGATCTGAAGGCATGGCATCTCAGGGAGCCTTGGGGGGTCCGCCACCTTTTCCCTTTGCCACGCACTACTACTACCCACCTCAGCAGCATCAGCAACAGCACCCGCACCATGATCGGGCATTATTAGCCCTCAGACGTACTTGTTATCGATGCCGGAAGAGAGGTCATGAAGCTAGCGAGTGCCCTTCAGGGCAGGGGCTTCGCCAGACACGCTCCAAATCTTGATGCACCAGGGCTGCAAAGCCCAGTAGTACCCCTACGGAGAACAGGACTGCAGCATCTGTACAGCCAGCATCCGTATTGTCCTTTGCTTCATGTCCCTATGCTTCAGTTCAAAAGGCGGAACTCAATTAATATTTATTAGCCTCCCTTTTTGACTCACTAGCTGCGCGAGCTTCTACTGAAGGTGTTGCGCACGCTGAGCACTCGCAAGAGAGTGTTTCTCAGCATTCTGGATATCCCGAAAAATCGGTTTCCCTTCACTTACGTTTTTTACTATAGGCATTGAAAGAAGTAAAGGGCAGCTTACAGGAAGAAGTTCTTTGGCATCATCGCCGTGTTTCGTAGCTCCTCATCAATTTGTTATCGCTCCCCTTCAAGCTATACTCCAAGCTGTAAAAGAGTCTCTCTGCGTTTACGCCTCTCGCTAGCCAGTTCCTTCATGTTGCATTTTGACGCTTCTTAAAACCATGCAAAATCTCAGGCAGAAATTCAGTGTCTCTCAACCCTTTGGGGACATTATTTTTCGGCTTTGCCGGAACTTGATGCTTCTGCCTTCGCCATCCTACATAGCTATCCAGGACAATCTCTGGTGTCTCCCACAATGGGGACAAAGCTCTTGCCATGTATCGTTCAAAATTTTGTTGAGCACTGCTTGTTGAGCCCGCAGCTAGTGCTTCCAGTAAAGTTGCGACAACAAGACGTGCTAAGCGCAGCTTCACCATCTACAGTGTTTCCAACTACACTGTTACACTCACTGCCCCATCAGGACTTGTGGGCATGCTGATTATGCAGCACCGCAGCACGAGTAGCCCCACAGAAAAGCCTTTTAAGGCTGTTAGCAGCATGGCAGGACTGCCTGGGTTGATTTGGTATCAACGGAGCTTTCCGCTTATTCAAGGAGAAACTTTGTACCTTTGCCCTCTTGGGCGGTATTGAGCTATGCAGGAGCAGGAATATTTTTTTCCCTCCTTTGCTGGCAACGCAACGGCGGCTAATGCTTGTTGTGAATAAGTCAAATTAATTTTATAACATTTCTAGTCCTTTACTGCACTTTCCTCTATTGTGTAGATTTTGCGCAGTCTGTATCTATAGTCTGAGCTCTGCGTACTTATTTATGCTAAGTAGCACCTCCTGCTCTCTGTCCGCATCACTAATGCCTGGTACAATGACCTTCAGAAACTACAATGCTGCTAGCTTATCCACGCCTGCCGCCGGTTAGCTGCATCCTCGTTGTCTCGCAGCTGCCTTCCTCCATTTAACATGTCTTCAAATGATGAAGTGCAGGCAGCAGGCAGCAATGCTCTGTTTAATGCTCAGTTTCAGCCTTAGTCTTAGATTCGAGTAAGAAAATATAGTTTTAAATGTAGTCAGTCATAGACGCTCGGTAAAGTCGTTGGCGCGAGTGTCGGTGTTCCATGCTGGAGGCACTACCTCGACTCTGCGCTTGCTAGTTGCGCTTATATAGCACCCGTGGTATTCAAAGCCCGGCGTTTGAGTAATCGCATGAGGCGATGAAGAAGTTTTGCGATGAGTAGCCTACTCTCGTGTACTAACACTGCATATGCATCGCATGCTCATGCGTTCTATTTCGTATTTTGGGTTATCTTCTTCTTCTTCTGTTGCATTTTCTTCAATTGTCCCTTGGTTGGATATCTCTCTTCTCTGCATAGGGAGCCGCAAGTAGTTTCAAGAGTCTATAAGAATACGAAAGACTGACAAGGCTTATTAATTACTGGTTACGTGTACAGTCCAAAGTCTCGGGCACACAAAAGGGCGCAGGCTGCAGTGGCTTTATCTGGAGAGTCATTCGACGGAAGCTTCTTCACCCACATGTTGGATATACTCCACAAGCACCTGACTGCCATTAGGTAGTATCCAGGAGCCCTGCCCATTAGGCTTATTCAGCTCAAACTCTCCTACGTAAACTGCACCGGTGGGGAGGATCCAACGTCCTCTCTTTAAGAATCCCGCAACCCACAGGCCAGAAAGTATGGATCCGTCAGACCGAAAGTGATAAGACCCCTCGCCGTGCTTTTGACCACCGAGCCACTCACCTGTTTGTACAGTTGGCAAAGCATCCAGCGCAGCAAATTCACCAGAAGAATCAACCAGACAGACAACGTTTGTCTTCGTTCACTCCTAAAATTTGCTGGACAGAGCCTGCTTATTTTTCTTCGCTTCCAGACGCTCAGCCAACTGCCTTTCACAGTAGGCATCGTTTTCTGGAAAAAGCTTTTACAGGCAAAGCTATCATGGGGGCAAATCATGAGGCAGCAGGCAGACTACACTAGTACCTTTGTACACATCACCGTTTGGATATGTCATGCAGCCATAGGATTGCCGTTGTCCGCCTACAAAGTGCCCCAAGTATCTCAATTCACCAATTATGTGGGCCTCTCCTGTAAAAGTAAAATTTTCGTTAGTTGAGATACTCCCAGGCGTGTCAATTTCGCGAAATTTCTTCATTTTAGAGCTATTCTGACGAATATGCTAGCCTCAGGTGCGAGCAGCTGTGCGAAAGATCAGTGGCTAGGCCCAAACGGGGATCCATGCATCGTCAAATGGCTCGTGAAGTTGTTAGATTGTCAACTGCCTGCTGAGACCGGAATTACCTCCTTCCTCAGTAAGTTCTCTCTTAACATATGTTGCGTTGCCCAGCCCATTCTTTTTGTTGTTTTCGTAGGTACCCCTGAATTGTGAGCCATCTGCAAACTGATACTCGCCTAAAGCACATAATAAGAGCATATATGTAAACGCACATAAGACACGCATATATGAGGCACTCACTTGTGCAATGCTTATTCATTGGACCTAAGAAACGGTTGCCCCCTCATATTTGTACTGCTTTAGCTTATTTTTGCGCAGTAGGTCTTGCCTTCCCCATGCCTGATGCCGCCGACATATTCGCCTGCAAAAGTTTCAGTAGTTCCCTCCTCATCGACAAGGTAGGTCGCAATTCCGGGGCCTGTATAGCCCCTGCTACTGTGTTGCCTTCCTTCTGGTGTAATGAACTCAAATTTTGGAGTCCCAAGCTCATCACTCTCTCCGTCCATTTTGATCAATAATGCGGTTCAACACGAAAACGGAAAACTTGGTGCCTTGGACTTACGGTGCCAAATGCACTAAACAGCAGAGGCTAAAAGGCAAGCGAGAATGCATCACAAAGAAAAATGCAGTGATCAGCGCTGAAGAGGGACCAAAAGACATGAACTAAGGGCAGCAGGAGATACTACGACAGGGCTGACCACCGCGCTAAAAAGCAGCGCCGTACTGCTCATCTTTAGAAAAATTGAGTTCAGATCGAACCAGTATTTTATGTCCTTATCCCGAATTATTTAAAAGAAGACACTGAAAGGCCTTTGTGCTGTTCCGTAACAGGTCAGTACTGCGTGCTTGATCTGGCCCCACGAGGTCACTTACCCGAAAGGTCTCAAAATCTGAAGCAAACGGCGAAACCATTCACTTGCATAATGCTGCAGGATGCTTTAAAGAATTCTTTTCGGTAGAATCTTTATTTCGGTGGATGATTACTCTCCTCGGAGTAGAGTGCACAGATAGTTCGTAGTATATCAAACATGGGCGCAACACACGCGATGTCATAATGAAGCTTCTCGATTTTCGGACGACAACCCGTCCCCTCCATCTTATATTTTTGGAAGATTTCGACTCTACATCTCTTTTTGGTATTTTGCCCTAATTAATAAGTACATTTTTCCGCTGTCAGCCCCCTTCTGTTCTTTTTCGCTAACTGCTGTGCTCACGCTGATTCTTCAGACAGGGTGCTGCAGTAATGAATACATATTCACCAACCAATATTGTACTGTTATGATTTTTATTACTTTGGTGTCTTTTCTAGCTGTACCATTTTTTTCTAGTGCTCCTGCAGCGCGGAGAATGGAGAGACCGCTGGCGCTTAAATGAGATAGCCCATCAATGCGTTTCCTACTTCAAGTAGCCATGGAGGCTCCAAAACTAATTCTTGTTATGGAACGAAGAGGGGAAAATACTTCAGAACCCCCGAACCGTTCTGGGGTTGATTAGGAGCAGTTGATTTTGGCCTCGCCATTGAACCATCCGGTAAGCATGTTAGCCTCTGCCTACCAGTGTGACTGGATGCAAATATCGGGCGAGCCATTAAAGAACTGTTACACTCATACTAAACGAGGCTAGCATGGTTGGCTCGTGTGTTTCGGGTCCACGCACAGCAGCGCCCAAACGTTTCATATCCCAGTTTTACATCAGCCCTGCAAACTGCCAAGGACCGAGATCATTTTCTGTTTGGTAGGGCGCCTCTGTCCAGCCCGCATCTTCAGGAAGAGTTCTGCTGCCCCTTGCTGACGGGAGATATTCCGCGTTGCCGGGCCTGCCACCTTGACCCTGATTTGGAGCCGAAGCTGTTGATCCTCCAAAGATCCCGAAGGCATTTTCAGGTGCCCTGAGCAGTATTGCACTGGGTTCTTCACTCTGAGGTGCAGTTTGCCTGCGATTATCTCCAGCATTGCCTCCAAAGGGGTGCGGCCCTGTGTACTGACCGAGCAACTGCTGTTGCTGTTGTTGCTGTTGCTGCTTCACAGGGAGGCTGCGGTTGCTTGATTGCTGCAGTGGAGCTTGCAAAGATACTTGCCGGTCTCCAATACTGCCCGTTTGAGGCGGGTGAGCAGCTCCGCTTGCCGCCAGTGCAGCATGGAAGACTGAAAGTGGAACAGACGTCGCTGCCTGTGGTGGCTCAATGGGAGTCCAGCTGCTGCATGGCGGGAAGGCTGGGCCTAACTTACTCCCACCTTCAGTGCCTCTGGGTGGATAAAACGGGGATTTGGGCTCAGGAAGCGCGAGGTCCTCTTCTGAGGGAATCGCTTCCTCGCCACCCCACGCAAGGGCAGGCAGAACTGTTCCTACTTCCCTCTCTGTGATAGACTTTGACTTCTCCCTTCCTCCAGAATTCGATTCAAACTGTGTAGGCGGCGGAGGCTGGCGTTGCGCAGCGCCCGTAGAACTTTCAGGGAACTGGTTACGAATAGGTACTGGTCCCAGAGGCCCTCGACGAGCTGTGCTGCTTCCTGACGTATTGGTTACTATGGGAAGGGATCTAGCGGGAGTCTGAACAGCTCCGCCGTCGATAGTATAAGGCAGTATCTGCTGTGGGTGCTTCTGTACCCCTGTTGGGGGCAACGCCACGCTACCGGACTGCCCTGCATGCTGCATCAATAGTTGGGCACCGTTGAGACGCACCAAGGGGTTGTTGCCCATATTACGCACAGGCAACTGTGCAGGCGGCACAGCAGTTGGGGGAAGCCACCTCTGGCGTGGGCTTTGAAGAGGACCATTTGCAGCAGAGGCTTGCTGCTGAGCTGCAGGGCAGGTAATAGGACCGTTCGCAGGTTTGGTCGAGAAGCGCTGCAAGAATTGCTGGAATTTAGCCCTTACGGAGAATGCTCTTGGAGGAGGTGGGGGCTTATGTAGATGATAACAACAACCGCCTGTTCCGTGTGGTGTTGGCCATGTCAAGTTTAAACTATCAGAGTTTTGCGGAGCGTTGGACGTGGTGACACCCGATCGCTGCCCCGCCACAGCCGGATGAAGCAAGTAGTTGGCCAACTGACAAGACAGCGTACCTGGGGGCAATTCAAGCTGTTTTTCTACCTCATCCGGAGGGGGCTTGTTGTTATGTCTAAGTACGTCGGGCAGTTGGCTTCTAGCCATAAATTCCCTGCACAATTCGGCATGTAGAGACTGGGAAACATCTTTCGGAAGACTACAAAGTGCTGGTTTTGTTTGTGTCGAACTGCGCTGCGAGGGAAACTGATTTGCAGCTCCTAGTAGTACACGCCTCAGGGCTTACACAGTTACACAGTAAGCTCTAAGGATGCCTAACCTTGCAAGTCTTTAATTAATGCTTTCGACTTATACGTTTGTGCTTGCCTGTGTGAGTACATCAAGAGGCAAAGGATGGCACGTCGCATCTCTTTAGCAGCTTCTGGACCTGTGGCAGCAGTGGTCTGCGGCATGTCCACTGAGCGGATTTCAGCGTTATTTTGATGACCTCGAAGCTCGTTTGTGACGGCACCATCCTCATTAGCCACACCCTCCAGGCGTGTACTGTTGCATATCTGGTCTAGCTCGTTAAAAGGTTTTGTTGAACTGCGCCGATTTGTCCGTGGACCTTGCTTCGCTACACTTCGACCAGCGTAAAACTCCTCCTTTGAAGAACCATTATGACGCCCTCTCTTGTTGCCTTGTACACGCTCATTGTCTCTTCCTATGCTGCAATTAGGTTGTGTTCTGTGGGGCTTCCCACTTCGTGCACAGTCATTTCCTGTAAAACTGTAGGAGCGACTGCTGCTTGTCCCACTGCTTTCGCCGCTTTCTGCATCATAAGCAAGCGAATCAAAAGACGGAGTTCCTTCAACACGTGTGCATGTACGAGGATAGTACTTCGTACTTGCAAAGCAGATTTGCTGTGCCCTTCATATAATGCCGTGTCACTCGCAGAAGGACACTGAATATTGTGCGACATAAGCCATCGAAAAGGAGAGATTCGGTAGGTACACCAAAATTGGAGCACATAGGAAAATCAATCCTGCAAACCGGCACTGGATTATACGAAGGTAGCAGTATCTAAGGCCCGTAAGCAAATCCATAGAACTGCAGTTCCAGCCTGAAGGATTTGCTAGGCAAATCTGTTTGGACAGATGAATTCGAGACAGCGAAAAGCCGGTGAAGACTGGCCAGAGTGACTTGAAGACATGGGAGACGGGGTATGGCATTGCCGCGTGGGTTTTGAATGCTGCATGAGCAAACAACACAGATTGACCGAGCTGCTTCACTCGCAAACTTGGCACTGACGCAAGTTTCCTGGTTCCTCTGGCTCCGAAACTGTTTCATGCTGCTGTTTTCGCATTGTGTTATCTCACCTTCTGTCCTGTTGTATGAGAGAAAGCTGCATCTTCGGCTTTTCTAGTCCGATTTTTCTGCGAGCGAAGTGGCGAAAGAGGGTAATGTGGATCAGTGTGTACGGAAGTCATAATTATGCTGGTAGTTGTGCAGTGAACCATATCGCCGAGCCTGATAAAGCTGAAGCTAGCTACAATTTCGAGTGCAACTGCATCTATGTATTTTGTTGTGTGTGTCGGAGCTGTTTATTCGTCTTCCACAACAGTCACCTTTGTGTTTCTTAAAGTCGGGCTCCTTATTTCATTTAGAAGCATCAAAGCGGTGTCACGATGTTGTGGAGCCTGAGCGCACGCATTCAAGCATAGCCTTGACTCGGAATTTCCGCATCGATGCAACGGAATCCTCGACTGAAGTGCCAATAATGCTCTCCTGTGGTGTGATGCTTTGCCATTTAAGTATTTAGCACAAATGCGCTGTTCTTGCCTCAATGCTGTTGAGTTGTTGCTGCAGCTCGGAGAGCTCGTCTTTGAAGGTGTCTCTTAGTGTCTGTAAAAAAAACAGTATCTGGCTATCCGACGAAGTGAATTCAGCACGGCACAAATTTGCCAGTTTGGTGCTTCATTTGTCAGCAAAAATACGAGTCAAGTAGCTTAAGGCTCATCAAACGCTGGAACTGAATACTTTTGCCGGTTGACAAACCTTGACTGCTTTCTGAATCTCCTTCTGAACGTCTTGTTTCACTTCAGCCACTGTCTGCTGCTTATCGTCTGCCGTTGGTATAGCAGAATTCTTGGTTCCTGCCGCTGCAGCAAGAGTGTTTCCCACCTCCCCGAATGGCACAGCTCCTGTGGCGGATACTACTGGAGCAGGATGAGAAATTGCAGTGACCGGCTGTGGCACTTCGTTAGCTCTCAAGGCAGCAGCGCTTAGCATGCTTAACTGCTGCTGTAAAAGGTGCTGCTGTTGCTGAAGGCTTTGCTGCTGCTGCAAAAGCTGCTGTTGTTGCTTAAGCTGCTGTTGCTGCTGCTGCTCAAATATTGATAGAGGTGCTGATACGATCGCTCTGACGGTCTCAAAAGGCTGCTGAAACCCAGTCTGGCCAAGTGTTGAGAAGTGTGATGTATCAAATCGGGCAATGCCGGACTGCCGGACATCTCCCCGATGCCTTTTATTAATATGTTTATCCAAATAGTGGGAATTAATAAATTTCTTGCCGCATTCCCCACATTGCACCAGCATTCCCACGACAATTGTTGGATTTTCAGTACCGGAGTTACGAGCAGTCGCATCCATTCCGCCGTCAGTTGCTGCCTTCACGGGCAATTGTACAGACGGCTGCCTTTGCTGCTCCTCTTGGAATTGTTGACTTGCATGGGACTGCTTTTGCTGCTGTACTTGATGATGAGAAGGCGGCATAATAAGCGTATTACTCGCCGACTGCAAGGCTTCAAAAATGGGTATCTCTTCCCTGCCCGCCGTTAGCATTGCAGCCATTTTGTCTTCAGGTATCGCGAGGTATAGATTTCTTTCTAGACTAATGGCTCCGATTCAGTTGTGCTGATAAAAGCAGGCTACAAGTCAAAAAGGATTTCGATTCTGTCGACCCGGAGAGGCTCTTGAAGTTTGTAGACCTGTGGCGCTGTATAGCAATGAAGACGGACGTATTCCAAAAAGAGTTGTTTGGCGTTTGACCATTTGCTCTAAGAATGCAAACTATGTTCAGCAACGCTAGAGGAAGTCTCTGCGTTGTGGGTAGAGCCCAAGGTCACTCGCCCGAACCGGACGGCTTCGCGTCAACGAAAGATCAGGCTCCCTTAAGAGCTCGTACCGTAGTGAAATATTCTCCCATCTCAGGAATATTGCTCAAAGAAACAGCAATGCTTGGAAGGACGAGAATTTTCATCTTAACCCATTGCTGGTTGAGGGGCCGAGGAGTGGATCATAAGTGTTTCCGAATGCGCACAGCTGCTGATCAGCATACCCCCTCCGCCGGATGGCACCGGAAATCACCATTCATCTAACCAAACCAAAAATTTCAAAATAACAAAGACGAGTAAGAAGCCGCGAAGACATGCCGCATTCTACAGCATGGAAGCCGCCGTGCGCCCGCATCTACACAGATTCACAGCGCAGCAATCGAATAACAGCGCGGCCTTCCCTTAAATCGAGCAAGAAACATTGCTCCACAGTTAGTGAAACACAAATGAGGGTACACTGGATGAATTTTTTCAATCGGCGGCATCTCCGAGTTCGTTGCCAAATATGTCAGAATACTTCTTGCGGGGAGCGCCAAGATTTAGCACACGCTCTTATCACTTTCCGTCCTCCATTTTGCATCCACTGGGCAACTCTTATTGAAAGAAGTCCAAAAGGAGTCCTCATCAATACCCAAGATTTCTCGTCAGCTGCAACGAAATCTTTGCCGGGTCGCCTATTGCCCCTGCTCCTCGTCTTCTCGGAAGTTGTGTGTAATAGTTCTGTGTGTGAGTTGCACATTGCTGGATGGCCCACAATTTAGTGAAGAAACACTGTCTTTGAAGAATTTTCCCAACATTCCTTGGCATACTTCATGCCATGTCTGGTGGGTCTGAGTGAACTGCTCGTAAGCTTTCATCATAATGTCCTGCCATTTGATTGTCTCAATGGAGCCATTATAGCTGCTTTCGCGTGTGTGAAACTGCAAGAAACCACGCATGCCACAATTTGCCTTTGCTCAAAAGTTTAGAGGTTCTCGGAGAGTATAATTCGCTAGGCAACTGGCGTGAATATCTCGCCATTGGCTGGAGAGACTGTACTCTCTGGAATTCATTCAGATCTGGCTACGCCTGCCAAGAAATTCCACGGATGCCTACACTCCCAACAACTAGCTGCTAGTCAATGCAGTATTTAAATATTAATTGTCATGATAGGGAGATTCCGCGTCTTCTAGCCCCAGGCGAGCGAACCGCTGTACAATGTATGCATCTGCACTGACCCCGTAGTAAGGCCAGAAGTATCAGCATGGGGAGCGCCGTATGTCGCTCAGCAGCACATTCTTACAATATGCGGAAACTGTAAAACGTTTTACGCCGTGAAATACAGGAGACTTGCTTATACGGCATCCCACGCCTTTTATTACAGTGTCTTGCGGAGGCCTAATCGCACGCATATTACTTTGCAGCAGCCTTCCAGTGAGGGAACTCTCTGGAGCCATTCCAAACACGAAACTTCTGCAATGCATACCTTTAAATGGTCAGAAATACTTGGGCTGCTGTGAGATAAAAGCTTGCAAGTCTTTGCCCTTTTTGCGTCAAAGAGGCCATATATATGTATCACCGCTATAAGCCCCTCTACAGTGTGCCAGCTGTGTGCGTCACCTTATAAATACGCCTGAAATGTTTTGATTCCGCACAGTATGTTTCGAGCCTCCATGGATTCTCCCGTAGTCACTACGCTACAACCTCACGTACATGCAGACCAGTAGCATGCAGCCTGCATATGGGGTTGACGTAGACACAGCGGAAAGGAGAATTTAACAGGCCGAAGAAAAGCAAAGCTACATGCCTAGCGAGCTGTTAAGGCATTAATGCAGACGTGCCCGGGTTTGGCACGTGGCTGCCTTAGGAGCTGCTGCAGCTTTTGCCGTCATTAAGCGCGATACCCGATTCCCTGAGTACATACTACAAGAATGACCCAATTTTAAAAAGCATCCTCCTACAAGCGTATTTGGTACTTTCCGCGCCTGCAGTTCACAAGTAGGCTCCGCCCTTGGGAAAGCATCGCAGCGCGATAATTCGCGACGCTGATATCCTCTGCAGCGCAGCTCAGGATTCTAAAATCTTTGCACATTCCTGAGAACAATCTATATGTAGCCCTTATAAATTTGTATAACACTTCAGCATACGCATCTTAAGAGGAAACTTCCTGAACTGTGGGGCGCAGCAAGTCCTAGGCCAGCAACGCCGCCCCCATGGGATTCGGAGCATGGCACGTGGCGCATTATATTCGCCCTCCTCGAAAGCTGTGATACTGGTTGTTTCAGATTCTCTTAACGTCCAATTATTTCCTCGTAAAAAGCCATTCAGTTCACAAATGGCCGCCACCTGGGTTGATGGCGACTCAGCGCGCCCAATAAGCACGTTAATTGCAATACTTCAGTGATAGTTAACCCAACCAACCAACTTTTGTGTACACTGTTGGCATGAACACACACCAGCCTAACTTCGCACTACTACTGTTACGGCCGCATGAACATGAAGCCTGGCGGACAATGGGGACGCCCTTCAAGAGTTTCAAAGCCGGCGACGAAGCCGCAGAGCACTGCAAAAAGACGAGTGTAACACTAAAACAACCGCAGAACTCCCTCTTCTGCATCTCAAAGATTTCAGAAACCACTTTGGTCCCACAGATATGTAGCAAGAAACAGCGGGGTGATAGATAGGCGACGGTAGGTGTGCCGATGCTGTCCTGAGGCGTACTGCGCATTGCGTCGCTGCACACTGGTTACTTACGCAAGAGGCCAGGGCAACTAAAGCTCCTGCTAAGAACAGAGTTGCGTGGATGACATTTCTACAGATGTCTTTCAAAATTTAAGCCACAACTGAGAAAGGAGCAGCACAATATTGTCTGGTGGCTGCGCTTTCCAACAGCAAAGTGATATTCTTTCTCATTAGCCCCTTCACAGCATTCAAGCTGTGAGTGGCTCTTCATCAAAATCTTCGCATTTTCTCGGTTTTGTTCACGAATACTCTCCCAGTACCAACAATATTACTCGTTTGCAGGCATCAAAGCTTCCTAATAGGCACGAAGCTATTTCGGTTGTTTAAAGGCGATCTGTAGTACTAGTATTAAGCCCAACGTCGTTTGGTGTCAGGCAATACGAGGACTGCAAAGCAGTGCTGTTCCAAGCCTGCACGGAGCAAGACACGTTCATAGCATTATCAGTAGGCAGCTCTTCACGAAGCACTTCAGGAAATGGCCCAAGAGGGCACGCTAAAGAAAAGTGTTGAATACAAACGTGCAGACTGAGTCAGTAGCCCTGTTGTTCCAAAACCATTGCACTCCCCTTGTCGGCAAGAAAGGGAATAATCAATGTGTTGCAGCTTGTACACCCAGAGGCAAGAGCTATATTGACATGTGCTCTCAAAGAACAAAACTCAAGAGACACAGACCAACCATGGACCGCCAAATATCGCCGCTTGAGCACATGAGCGCCAGGTAGTATCTCTTCCCTGTATTTTCCGCAATTGGGCGCAGATATTTTCTTCAATTAAAACTCTACCAAGGCTCTCAACGTCGAAAGCGCAACGGGAGCGAAAAAGAGCACCTTATGCGGAGGTGCCTGACACTTCTGTAAGTACCGCAACACAGAGGAGGAAAATGTGCTCGACGCACATGCAGAACAGTGCGATCAGAATAGTTCTGGTAGTTCATGAAACTGCAGCGATTGAATCTTGGTTCTATTATTGTTTGACATTTGAGGCACGTTGACATTTTGCTAGTATTTTGGAACGGTTGGTGATAGGACATTTGAAATTCGAGATTTTTCCGAGGAAACATATAGGTACTTGCACGTTCCGCATCCTTTATACTTCATTGTCCCTGAACTCGCTAAGTTTGCCCTTTGCATCTATTGCCGCACTGAACGTGAATGTTACTGCAGCAGTTCGAACCGGTGCACGTAATTGGGGCAGCCAGCCTTTCCTTCTCCAAGATGGAAATGGAGTGCCCTCAAAGATATGCGTGGTCCCACAGGAACACGGATACCTTTCGGCCCATTCTGGAATAGCTCTTCTCATCACGTTGTCCTACTTTTGCTGTTCTGGCCCGTGTCACCACGTAGCTGCGCTCTGTCGTTACATTTTAAGTCTTCATCTCGATTTCCAAAGCATCCGTAGTGAAGAGTCATCCGACGCACGGCATTTGAGGTTCCGATGCCGCCAAACGCACAACTGAATGCCTACATTCCATACTGGAACTACAAGTAACACTGGAGAGAGGCTTTTCAATGACCTAAATTCTTTCGAAACATGCATGAACCTAAAGCAACTAGCCAGCTTCTGAAATATAGTATTCAGTTAGTACTGTCTTTGACAACACAGTGGCTACGTGGTGCCTGTGCAGAAACTACATTGTCATTCAAGCTCAACCACATCTACAAAGACCGAACAATATTTCGATTCTTGACGCAAATTGTATTTTGAAACTTCGTCTCCTAGGCATATGGGAAACTGTTTAAAAGGGTGCAAACTTCCATCCCGGAGATCTGGCGCTTACCCGAGTCATCGCGCTATGTAACTAATCCCCTTCAAGTTTTACACGTATCCCGGGCTATGCTGTGAGTTGCTCTCTGCCAACTGCTTTCGTCCCCAGGAAGGATCACACACGAATCGCCGCCTTTTCCAAAGCACGGATAGCTATGTAGGCAGGAGGTGCAGCTTCACTGGTTTGCAGCATGACCGTATCGGAACTGTGCAGTGCTGCCTGCGGCAAGCCAGTTCCATCATCAGTACGGC